TCAGCAGGAGTTGTAGTTCAAACTGCTTATTAAGATAACCTCCTGTGGAGCAGTTTACCTCTCATGTTGGTTTTTATATCCTTTCCTTGTCTTGTTTCTATTTGGCAGTAAAAATACATTCTGTCCTGTTTTGCAAAACCTGGAACTAAGAATAACTTAAGCAGAACATAAGTTTTTAAAGTTGTTTCATGTGACAAATATTAGAATAATGATCAATCATTTCTGGGACTTCATTTACTGCCAAATTCAGTTAGCCACCCAGAAAAATGTAGGAAATTCTTTCAAATATACTAACTAGGTCTGATATATATATGTTGGTGGGTGTTCTGAATGAACAGAAACAGAAAAAAAACTTAACAGTTTGGCCTAGTTGGATGCTTCCAAAAAACTTACAGGAAGTTTCATATATGTGTATGATCTAAGTATTACCTCTTTTCCTTTTCTTGCATCTTTGAATGGGTTTGGTAGCTGTGCTCTGTTTCTCCATATGGATCCATGTGACTCAGCATCGATGTTTTTGTGTCATTTGGTAGTTTAACGAGACTATTTTGTGATCTTACATTCTCCTGTTCCAGTTTGTGAATGGAAGCTGTGAAATTCCCATGTTCTTTGTTAGATAAATCTTTACTCTGTGAAAGGATATAACCATCATTAAATAGTTATTTTTTCCACAATAAATGGATGTTAGTATTTTTAACAATCAAACACAAACCAATGTTCTATGCTAAAGAAAGACCTAGCTACCATATATAATCATGCAGCACTTATAGCAAAGAAAATTGCCTCCGGAAAAAAAAACCCAAACCGCTGTAGATAAATGAAAAAGAGGGATAACAGCCTCTATAACACAATAAAACAAATTAAAATTTCTCAACAAACATGCATTCAAAATATTATTGTTGTAAATTCATTGCTTCCTTTGTAAAACTTATGACATAAAAGCGAGCATAACAGCTATAGCTGCAGACTGTATTGCTCCCTCCAGTAACAATTCCACCAAAAATAACAAGAAAAATTATAGAATTTCATTACTATCCTAGATACAGGGTATGTCTACAGGCGCAATTTAATATTTGTGTCGAGATGAGGTCACCTTCAGTTTCAGAAGCAGTAAAGCCAAGCCACATTAGCACAGTGCTCTCCAGCTGTGTTAATAAACCCTGCTTCTCGGTTGGGTTAGCCCCACATGGTATACAAGTCAAAATACTGAAAGTGCAAGCAACACGTGCACTGTGACCAGGGGCTGAAGAGGCCCATTCACTAGGATATCAAGACGGGAAGATGGAGATTAGCTCTGGAAGTTGACTAGCCAGGATACCCCATTCCTTTTTTGTCCTATAACTTATTCCATGAAGCCTATGCTGCACACCTGAGCTAGCTAATTTGGAGCTACCTCTCTGGAGAATACCACATTGCAGTGTGCAAATATATTTGCAATAACAGTATACTGTCATCAACAGAAAGTTCTCAAAAGATTCAACAAATTACACACAAAAGACTAAAACCCCATACATTTTATTAAGTTGTGCTTTCATATATTTCTAGATTTACCCTATTCTTTTGGAACCCAGTAACTCGTGAGTATTAAGGATTTGGTTCTTAGTATGCTGCTACCACAACTGGTCTCCTGCACCTGAAAGCCAGTCTATTCCTTGCACTGCTTGTTCTGATGTCATCTCTTCCTGTAAACCTTGCCTCGCTTAGCTAGTTTTAGGGGAAATTTATGAGCCAAGCTGGCATGGAAGTGCCAGAAAGTATAAGAAAATTTAATATTTTGTGCAAGGTTGGAGGGCAGGGGCTCAGCTATGTCTCCCAAGTGGAAAGGAGTGGCAGGCCAGAGGAAGAAGGAGAGCGCTGAGTCACCCTACCACTAATAGCTCTAGAATCAGCAGTGCAGTTATAATAGCATGAACCCCAAAACTGAGCTGGCACAGCTACATTGCTTTTGAAATCTAAACAAGTAACCCTGCGTGATGATGCATTACACCTTACTGATTTAGGCTGGCACTAGTTTGAGGGGTCTGTGCAGTGCTCTACTGTACTGTACAAACACATCCGTAAAAATCTCTCCAGTCCCTGCAATCTTAATGCCAAATACCTCACAATATTTAATGTTTAGGTCCTCACAATACACTAATAAAGTAGGAAAGAATTATTAAGTCCACAAATGCATTGATATGTGTAGTGACCTTGGTATATCTAGTAACAGGATTTTACTGTTAAAATTTCACAAACGTGGTAGCTACAAGGATTCTTGCCTGACGGCTCTTCTTGATCTTCATGAAGAATATCACTGTAGAGAAGAGCTAGACATGCATACATATATCCATCTATGTTTCCACAATAACGTATCATATATACACATACATATATCCATAATATTGTGGACATACGTATAGCTATCACTAATAGACATTGATGCTATTTTAAAGGTGTGGAAAAATGTGACATTCTTTCATGCATTTGTCAGTCTGCAGTAAGACAATTAACAGGCTACAAATCCCCCAAAGATGTACTTACAGCAGTATCTACAAGCAACATTACAGTATTTTTTCTAGTGATAGATAGAATAACTGCAGATGTTCTGTAAGCAGGGGACACTTTGAAGCTTTTTGTGGAAGGTAGCATATATAATATTTATTATATTAATATAAGCTATAGTTCTACATCATATTACGGCACGCTTTTTATGAATTAAACTTTAAATATCCCCTGTTTGGAGAGAAATAAATACTAAACAGAAAATAAGCTGGGTGGGGGAACAATATGTCAGTTTTTTACACTGTTACTTAAATATTGTATGAACAAAGGGGCAAAATAGTAAAAAGGGACATATTTTTGTATCTGTGAGAATGATGACTGTTTAAAAATAAATATTTTCTTAAATAAGTGATGTCACTTACAAAAAAGAGGCTCCCAGAAACTGTTTAGTGTCTAGACAGTTAATGAAAAATTTAGCTTACTTCCAGTTTACTACAATTAAGGTCAAAATTATTCCTAGCTATACCCATCTTCAGGCTGTGTGTGAATATCACTTGGTTTTGATTATGTCACACATCTTATTTTTATTTATTTATTTTATGCAAGCCAGAAATCTCTAAATCTGCCATGATGTCAATCTATATTTGGAATAAATGTAGGAAAGTAACTGTTCTGCATACTGCATAGATTAAAAAAAAATTACCGTGCAACTCTTGCACTCCTGGTTTTCCACCATCTCTTTTAGATGTGTGTTTTCAGATTTGATAACTTTGTATTGGAAATCCAACAACTAGGAAAAGATTCAAATCTTAGTTAAATACAGGAATATTACTGTTAACTTGAAATAACACTGAGTACAGATATATGTAAGTTTAATTTTATGAAATATACATAAAGAATTATGAAGCTAACTATAATTTTTTTTTAAATACAGCAATACTAAAGCAGAAGGAAGTCTTAAACCATCTATAAAAGATACAGGAATGCAATGCCTCTGATTTTATTTACCTTTTTTAAAGAAGTAATCACTTAGGAAAATAAGGGAGTTACAAGATACAAAGAGGGACAGATTTTACAGGCCACTGCAACTGGATGAAATCCTGGTCATGAAGCCTAGGAATGACACCCACTCTTTCTTTTAGTGATATGATAAGGAATATGGCCTGGTAAAGAGTGCCACACAGTAGGAGATGTCTCTCATTTTCCCAAACACTAACTTTCCTATTATCAAAAGTAAAGCATTACATTAATCACAATTTTCAATATGCAGTGACACTCTCAGAAAACCCAGAGATACCCAGAAACCAGAATGTTCTTTTAGTTTGTAAAACTAAGTAATGAAGATAACATACTTGTTTTTAAAATTGAAATTTGCCATTAAAAACTCTGGTATCTTACAGTTTTCAGCTTTGAAATTACCACAATGTTCTAAGCAGATTTTTAACATTCTTCAAAAAACTTAAAAAAAATGAAGAATTAGGAAACATAATAGATAATCTAATAAAAGGTTCTAATGATAAAGCGCATATAATGACAACAAACTGGAAGTTTCCAAGACCTTTTGCATGTTAAAGTGCTAGCGTTTTATGATTAGAACATTTGATGGTTAGAACAAATTGCAATTTAGATGTACAGTTGACATTTACCGCTGCTTTCTTGTTCCAGTATCAATTTGGCTGCTTTAGTAATGCTTCATAGACATTACAGCACTGCTGATGAAAACTACAGCAAGAAACATCTTTTTTTCACACATAATGTATGTCATTATCAATATTGTGGAGTAAAATGATCTAGGCTGGTTTTGCCTGCTTGCATACCTGTTGTTTTGCTAACAATTTGTCTTTTATCTCTAACTCCATTTTTAACTGTCTTTCCAGAAGACTAGCTTTCTCCATGATAGTTGCTATAGTGATCTCCTTCTGATGAAGCTCTTCTGTCAGGTCAGAGATTTCTGTCTTCATTCTTTCCTGCTCAGAGCAATGGGACTGCTCCTCTTGATAAACATGGTTTCTTATCTGTAGCAAATACGTTTCAAAAAGAAAAAATGTTGTGCAGTAAATATGGTTGCATCACTTGCTACCTATCAGTGACTTTTTTTGCTGTTGCTTCCAAGACACCTACTCTTTTAACCGAATCAGAGATCTTTGAGACTGTATAATAAAATAGCTTCATGAGTCAGTGCACATAGCTTTATTTATTTTTACATCATTTTTCAACCCTTCTCTTGTGCTTTCATTTGCCTATTTAGTATGAGAAATGAACAAAATAAAAGGCATTTAAATTAACATTTTAAAAGAATGTAATAAAAATAATGTTAATTTTAAGAATTGGAGTTTATGGCAAAGGATATCCAGGGAAATATCCATTCAATAAACCTAAGTATGATTTATTTATATTGCTCCTAAGTTAATTTAGATTTAAAATAAGTTTAATGCAGTCTAAATTAACTTAGGAGCAATATAAATAAATCAATCTAGAGACTATTTAATGAGAAACTATGTTAGAAATAAAGAGTATATCCAGTAAATCACTTTACAAGAATTTTTCCTGCCATTAAGTATAAAATTTAAGGTCAAACTTTCTGCACTAACCCCTGTGCAGAGTTGTCCAAAGAATCAACACAAAGATTGTTTTCATAATCTTTCTACTATAACCCACTGATAGATATTCTTTTATTATGTAAGAAATAAAACTACAAAAACCAGCATAACAACCTTTGAACCCATTTTAATAATTCCCCGTGTACTGTACACAGTCAGTAACAGATGGCATTTCATTTTTATTTATGCAAACTACACAGAAATACTGGAATTATAAACAAATAGATGTAGATGCAAAAACCCCAAGAGCTAGATCATGACTATCATGCCAAAATTGCTGCATCCTAGTCAGCTGTATCCAATTGGAGATATTCCTGCTTACATTGCTACTCAGCAAAACCCGTAAGAGTTCTGAGCACCCTCTACTCCCAAAGTGTTTTGGCCTGACAAGCCATATGCCATTCTATAGTGCCATGCCACTACTCCTTGCAGGCAGCACTTCTGAAATGTGCAGTGCAATGTGATTCTTAGTTCAAACTAAAGAGCACTGCCCTAAACTGTGCAGCAGGTAACTGATTAAGCTTCGCCTTGTGTGGGTACCTGCCATAGTGACTTGTATCAGTTGATCTGATAGCATCTCTTACATCCGAGACCACCTATAAACTACTATGTATGTGCTGTAGCCTATGAATTACTCATAGCCTTGGAGGGTTTATTGCTTGCATGGTATTATCTGAATCACAGAGATGCTTAGGCTTGGTCTCTCCCATTATTTCAATGAAGTAGCTGGCTCTGTTGTTAGTGCACAGAATCAGAATGTCAAATCTACAGCTATACAACTACCTCCAAAAATGCAACCATATGTGAAAACTTCTTCATATATGAGAATTTCATGCTCTCCTAAAACCACAATTTATCCTCCTGCTCTCTTCTGCATATGCATGTACCCAAGGTCAATACTTTGCTCTCGTCTAAAAATCCTATACTGCAGTTAAGATCTGGAAATAATTAATAATCTGAAATACCTTGTTTAGCTCTTCTCGTTGGCATGCTTGACTTTGTGCCAATAGTAAGAAGTCAGCATTTTTATTTTCTAGCTCCTCAGTAAGTTGTACACAAGATGACTGATGCCTTTAAGTAAGAAATAAACAAAACATGAAACAAGCAGAATGTTCAATAACCTTTACATTACAGTATCGTCTCCACAGTGTAAAACTGTGGAAGACCTGCTTGCTGATTAAAAACCAACCAACCAACCAACCAAAGATTTGACCTAAACAAGGTTTGATTTTGGGAGATTTCTAGAGATTAAGGACAATGCAAGTGCATGCAGAAAGAATCCTGAAATCTCTTGTAGTTTGGCATTTCATATAATCTCAAACAGCCACAGTAGATTAAACCATAAAAAGATGAGCATTTTAATCAAAGGAGGATAGGGAGAATCTTAATCGCACTACTTCTAAAGTGTTTTAATGCCAAGAAAATGAAAGAGACTGTAAACATATAAACAGAAATATATAAAGTGCATTGATTTGTGAAGATCTAGGCAGCATTAAAGTCTTTTAACAGAGCCTGCAGCTATTGCCTGCAGTCTTGTCATATATAATTGCCAATGAAAATGTTTATTCTAAAATTGTTTAGAATCTGACATTTGAATCCAGAGTATCTTTTTAAACAGACTTAATTGAAATAAAATGTAGGAAAAAAGCTATTAGCTCAGAAGTACTTGTTAATTTAAATATTGTCTTCACATACATACTTTATTTGAATTTCCTGCATATCTTTATACTCTCTAATTTTCAATAACTCTGTGTGCAACTGTTGGTATTCCAGTTGTATCCTTCTCCAGAGAGCATCCCGTGACTGCAGCTCATTTCTCATTTCTGAAAAGCCTGCCTCCATGTTCTAAAGAAACAAGCAGATACATAAATAGTTAAATAAAATTAGACATCTCAAAATGCTGTATTTTAACACATCATTTTCAATACCTGTATAATTTGTATGAAAGGACATACATGCTTTTATTTTGAGTTTAATTTCTGAAAAAGGTATTGCCTTCATGTTAGTTCCTTTCTCCAGAAAGGTCATCTAAAAATCAGATGCTGAATATTCTTTAGTTCTTGCAATGTTACAATGCATCTCTCTCTGAAAATATCATAGGAAACATCATTCAGAAGTTGTTTATTGTACTAAATGCATCTAAAATACATAGTTTGCTTGTTTCAGCAGGTTCTGCACCCTAGAACATGCTTCACATGCAAGAATTAGTGCCATAAGTAACTTCCATTTTCTGTTTTCCTAACAGCATTTCCAAATTTATAAGCTTGAAAACTACAAGGTTATAGAAAGGCAGGATTAAGTGCATACCTTCATTAAACATTGGCTGGAAGCTTGGAGCAGATACATCTAGACTTATGCACTTAGATAAAGTGTCTGCTCCAAAACTAGTTCTATCTGCATGGAGTTAACTGTTTATTTAAATGAACATCACAAAATTTTCAAACAATCACAAAAAGACTTTTCCTAGGGACTTCACAAACTTGTGTCTATTTTACCTTTAATTACTGTTTGATAGCGTGACAGACAATCTGAAGATACGTGTTATATTTGGCATCATAAAATCTGATTTTCCAAAAAATCTGAATTTCCCCAAAATATACTGAAATCATACTTAAAGATAAGAACTTGGAAATATAACCCACAGATAACAAAAGTAGCAATAACAACCAGACTTTTGCAATAATAATACCACTTGGAAAATATTTATTTCCTCTCACTCAAGATCCAAAAGCATTTTCCAGATAAAAAAAAATAAAATAAACAATTCCAAGGATGTCGATCCTTTGCCTTTAAAACTATTACACTAAAAACACTAGTATTTTTTGTAATTTCTTCATTTTATTTTAATATAGCTTCCATGCGTAAAAGCAAAAATAAAGCCTTTAAACTTTCAAAAGACAACTGGAATCCAGAAATGACACTGCAAGCAAGGAACTTCAAAGGTTTATTTCCCTCAGAGCCTCATATTAGAATGACCTTCCTTCCAAGAAGCCTGTGGTTTTCCTCTGGCTGAAAGGGCTGCTGAAGACAGATATGAAGCGCTTTTGCGTTTTTTTTTTTTTAATAGGGACAGCATATACAGATTCATTCATCTTATCCTTTGTTAAATTAAGGCTGAGAGAGCTTTTTTAAACTCTGAAACGCAAGTCTGGGCATATTCAAGTGAAATAAAGCTTAATGAATTGTTAAAATTGTCTGTAAGACTTGCTTGTGATCATCTTTACGACTTCAACATTCAAGAAATAGCCATGATTATTTTATAATACATGAATTTAGGGGAGGGTTACCCTTCTGATTTCACTCTGGGGTGGATAAGGGGAATGAATGCTGCACAACTGTGTGTGGTGGAAGTCATATCATCTGTGGCAGGCTGCAGTCATCATACATATTTACATAAATTGTGTTTTCTTCTGTGAATTACAATAATAGCTGGAAGAACAGCAGCCACAGCAGCAGCCACAATCATAACTGAAATAGAACTTCAGGTCAAGAGTTTCACACATCACTTCAAAAAAATCATTTAGAGATGTACCACTTATTATTTTATGAAATATCTATTGCATCTAGTTAAAATCAAAATGAAAATTAATTTGGAATCAGGAAACTAGGTTTTGTTTGGAAAATATCTAATCAAATACAACTTTTTAAGAGTCTGTTTCAAGTTGAAAAAATTACTAACGCCTCTGTTTTCTTCTGTGAAAGCTTTTGCTTCAACCAGCTCACCATATTTTATAGCAAAAGGAAGTCTCGAAAAAATCCTGATCAGCTCCTGTTCTAATTCTACGCAGAGGTGTTCAACCTTTTTAATATAATTATATGCTGTATCTCTATGTAAATTAGTGTCCAGCAGCTGACTGAATGCAGACTTTCCAAGAACCAAGCCTCCTGTGTGATGTTTCCAGGCCACCTCTCCTGTATGGCTGCAATTAAATTTGTCAGTGGTCTCAGTTTGGATCTTCTGAGTTTGTATTTCTGTACAGCCAACAAATTGGTCTTCCATACACTTATCACTGTTTCCTTGCTAATTAATTGCATAAGAGAAATATTGAGAAGCAGACATGAAAAGGTTATAAGCATAGAATCATAGAATCATAGAATTGTTTAGGTTGGAAAAAACCTTTAAGATCATCAAGTCCAACCGTTAACCTAACCCTGCCATCC